CCCAGGCAGAAAGGAGAACCCTGGGTGAGCTGGACAGGTCCTGGAAAGCAGTATCTTAAGAGCCTTTGGCCTCTCGAGTGGTTTAGCTAGAGCAGCCAAGGTGGGCCCCGCGGCGTTCATCCCTGCGAGCTTCCTGGGACAAGCCCAGCTCATGCTTGTCTTTTCACCCTCGCTAGCAGGGCTCCCGGCGCGAAAGGGATCCTCCCGGTGGTGTGTTTCTGTGCCAAACAAAATTGACGTCTGTTATCGTGTCAGGCCATGTGGTTCCCAGGCACTTGAACTTGTGGTTTATCTCGGGGGCCAGATGTTATCTTGGGTGTAAGCTGAGTGCAGCACACAGATGTGGACCTGGGTCACTCTCAAAAGTGCTTGGTCCCAAAACCAAGGCTCCAAAGTGGGAGGATTGTCGTGAGAAGAGGAAGAGAAGAATTTCGACTAGGAAAACAGTAGTTAACATTTACTGTTTTTGTGTGCTGGAGGAAGTACTCGACAGACATATTGAATTTGCACGATTGCTCTATTAGGTAAGGACTACTATTATTTTTTTGGCAAATGCTTAAACTGAAGCCCAGAGAGGTAAAGTAACTGACCAGAGATCCTAGATTCAAACCTAGGGCTTCTGTTAACAGCAGGCAGGCTTCTGATTGGGCCTTCGAGGATGGGGGTGAACTTGATCCTCAATAGTTTACTATTAAAAAAATTTAAACATATAGAAAAGTTGAAAAAAATTTGTAGTAAACATGCATATGCACACTACTTACCTTTAAAGTTTTTGTATATTTGCTTTATTACACATCTATTTTTCCCTCTATCCATCCGTGAACCCTCCGTATTTTTTGCATTTCAAAGGTTTCGGACACCCCCTGGATATGTCAGCATGCATATCACTAACTATGGTTATTTATGGGGTTTTTTTATTGTTTCAGTGTAAAATTTACATACAGTAAAATGAAAATACACATACTAGTAGTGCACTGTGTGAACTTCATACACATATTCACACATTAGGTATCTTTCTGCACCCGGCGTCTTGCACTCAGCATAATATTTTTGAGGGTCATGCATGTGGTTGTGTGTATCCGTAGTTCCTATTTATTGCTACTGTTCCATCCTATCATGCACCCGCATCTGTTTGTCCATGGACCCCCGGACAGCTTCAGCTGTTATGAGTAAAACAGCTAAGAGCATTCATGTACAGGTCTTTTTGCGGACATACACTTTCATTTTTTTCTTGGGTACATACCTAGGCGTGGAATGGCCGGGCCATAGGGTAGTAGTATATTTAGGTTCATAAAAGGCTGCCTGTCCCCAAAGTGGCTGTACCAGTTTACATTTGCACCAGTACTGTACGAGGGTTCTGATTACTTCCATCCTGCACCCCATGGTGTTGGCAGGGTTTTTAATTTTAGCCATGCTGGTGGTTGGGACACGGTATCTCATTGTGGTTTTAATTTGCATTTCTTTAATGACTAATGATCTGAGCGCTCTCTCACCTGCTTTTGAGCTATTTGCATGTCTTCTTTGAGGAATCTTCAACTCTTTTGCCCATTTTAAAAATTAATTTGCTTGTTCTCTATTAAACGGATGCTTTGCAAATGTTTTCTCCCGGCCCGTGGTCTGAGTATTCGTTTTCTGAATGAGGTGTTCTGATGGCCACGAGTTTAAATTGTGATGCATTTAATGCGTCCACCATCTCTTGTGCGGTTCTTGCTCTCTGGGTCCAATCCAGTAAACCCTTACCCACCCGCTGGAGAGTGTTGGGAGCAGGTCATAGAGAGCCTGAAGGAAGCACAGGTAGAGGGGACAGAGAGGCCGGGGCAGGAGCACCCGGTGGGGAAGTGCAGGTTCTGTGGGCGGGGGTGGGGGGTGTTCAGAAGAGGAATTCCCCAATATCAGGAGGCTGGACTGGATTCTTTACGCAGTGGGAGCCACTGAAGGCTTTGGAGCAGGAAGGACGGATGATCACACAAGAGAGCCGGATAGCACAGTGCCGGTGATGCTAAAGCCTGGGGCACAGTTTCTCGGTCACCCCGAAAGCGGCAGTGTCTCCCCTGCTAGGGAGCTGGGGGGCAGGGTGGGCGGTTCATCTCTGTGGATCCTCGAAGACTCTCCATGGGCCCCAAAGCCGCCCAGCCCCCACCAGCACTTAATGGGCCCATTTCTTGCCAGAGAAGCCTATGGGTGGCGGTAGGCAGGGGTTCGGCAGAAGCCCAGGGAAGGCGTCCTTACCCGTGGGGTTGGAGCCGCCTCTCCCAGAATCCTTCCAAGGACCCCTGGCCTGCCCCACGCTGACCTCACCCCCTCCCACCCCCACCCTCTGAGCTCCTGCCACCTCCCAGGCTTCTTGCACTTTTCCCCAGATCTGAAGGCCTTTGCTGGTCCCTGGGTCTGGAACCTCCTCCCCTCTCCAGCTCTCGTCATCGTCTGACTTACTCTAGGTCACTCGTTGTCCTCATTCATCACCAACCCCTCCCTGGGAAGAGACAAATCCTTTTGTCCTCTGCTCCAGTGCAGTGCCTAGGACGGCATCTGGCACTTGCAGGCCCTCAGAAAACACTCGGAGTGTGAGCGAAGGTGGGGTGCACACCCCTCCCTTCTCCCAGGGCCTGTTTGTTTGATCATGGCTTTGGGCTACGGAGAAAACGGGGGACCCTTGTGCCCAAAGCCAGGTCCCACCTAGGGCCACTCAGCAAATGGAGGACTCTTCCCGGCCGCTTGGTGCCCACTGCACAGATGAAGAAACTGAGACCCTGGGAGGGACCAGACTTGCCGAGGTCTAAGCCTGGTCGGCAGCAGAACGGAAATGGGAGCCTGGATCTCTCCCGCAGCTGCCGTTGGGGTCCTGACTGGCCCCCAGGGGAGACTCTGGGCCAAGGATCTTAACGTCTTTTGATGCCAGAAGATATTTTTGGTTTTCAAGGAGTAGGAGAGTATGAAGCAACCTAATGGACCCCAAAGTGCTTATTTTCTGGGTAATTCTGGCCTCCGCCCGCGTTTTAACTTCCTTCCCAGAGAGATGCTGCAGCCTCCCTTCAGGGCTTGGGAAACAATCGCCTCCACTTCAGCTCTGCCTTGAGCTCCAAAGGAGACCCACCAGGCCCCAGTTCCACAGCCCAGGGACATGCGTGGGGCTGCCCTCCTGCCCCCACCCCCAACCCAGCTTCCTGGTCCCTGCAACCGCCTGGGAGCCTGCTGCTGTCCTGAAACCCAGCACCGGTTCTCTGTGTACCCAGAGGGAATCCATAAACCCCCTTGTGCACACACAGCAGCTGTGAGAGAGAGGGCGTCCTGGAGGGTCTGGGGGCCGAGACCTCCGAGGAGGAGTTATAGCACCAACGTGGATGAATCCGTCACACACCTCGCTACTCGGGCCTCTGCAAAGCCCGCCTGCTCAACACAGCCCAGCCCCGCTGGCTGGCCGATCTAACGCAGCACGCCCTGCCTCCCAGCAGCGCCCTGGAGCCTGCCCTCCTCTGTAGGAAATGCCTCCTCTCACATCCCTCCCCTCCTCCCAGGAAGTGGTTCCACTTTTCTGTACCTTTAACAGGGCTCCTCCCGGCTCATCCCTCCCCCCCACCGCCGCCCTCCACCTCTCCCTACAGCAAGTGCCAACCCTGGGCAACATCACAGAGACACAGGGCAAACGAGGGGTGCCCGCCCTGGCCCCAGGCTTCGTAACCACCCCCTTCTGTCTGATAAGGCTTCGCCCCTCAGGTAGGATGCAGAGAGGCCCCACAGCCCCCCGCCCCCCGACTCAGGATTTGAGGCCCGGAGATGTCGCCCCTCCTTTTCGGGAATTGGGGTGTGTAGGGGGTGCGGTGAGCGTTCTGGGCAGGGTCTCTTCAGCTGGACCTCTGCTTTGGTTTTCCTGTTTCTTAGGCCTGTGACTCTCCTCCTTCCCCCATCCTGACCTGTGCGGGGGTGGGGGGTCAGGGAGTGCTGACTGGGAGGGGAGTGGGCACAAGGGAGACTCCTGGAAATGTCTGTATGAGCCCACCTAATAGAAACAGTGTGCAAGCCTCATGTGTAGCTTTAAATTTTCTAGTCGCCCCATTTAAAAAGTAAAAAGAAAAAGGTGGAATTAATTTTAATAATTTAACCCAGTATCTCTATACTAGTATTATTTCAAAACGCCGTCAATGTAAACTATTGTTAGTGAGCCGTATATTTACAGTCTTTTTCATACCAGGTGTTCAGAATCCTGTACGCACGTCTCTATTCAGGCCACCCACTTTTCTTTTTTTGTATTTTTTTTCAGTTACTGTTTGATTCAGTATTATTTTGTGTTCACTTCAGCCGGACGGCGCCGCGGCTGGACAATCATACGCTTTCCTAAGTGGTCTCCCCCGACGTTCCCAGTACCCACCTGGCACCGCACAGTTATTACAATGTTATTGGCTGTATTCCCTGTGCTGTGCTTACATCCCTGGGTCTGTTTCGTATCTGCCAGTCTGTCCTCCTCAGCCCCTTCAGGTGTTCACCCCGGCCCCCAGTCCCTCTCCCTGACCACCCACTTTTAAGACCTCGGGTCCCGCGTGTAGCTACGGTATCGGACAGCACAGTCCTCTCTCGATCTGGGCGGCAAACAGCAAGTATAGACGTATGTAAGAATTTGTCTCGTTGTATATTGGAGACTTTGTGTGTTTCACGGTGTATAAATTACATGGTCATTAAAAAGGTTTTTAAATATCCTACTCAGAGCTCTGCTCCAATGTCCCCCATCCGTCCCTGAACCCACGTTGGGCCAGGAGTAGCTATTTCTGTCACAGTGTGCTTCTCTTATTCCAGTTTTTTGCAACAGCCAGTTATTTCTGTATATGTTTAGCCCATTTCATTATAAGCACCGAAAGGTGAAGAGTTCGTTTATTTTTTAACTCCCCAGAAGGCCACTGGCTTCCTAGATGTTGCATTAGCCAGCACGGTTGAATCGAACCCCCGCTGGCTCTAAACTTCTTTCTGCAGAGCTTCAGGATGGGCTGATCTTTTTATTCTGTTCTCAGTCCTATTCCAGATGTTGACAAAGGAGAGGAAGAGAAGGAGGAAGATGGCGTGGGGCCTTGCCTGCCAGTCACCCAGAAGAACTGCAGCACCCCTCGGGGCATCAGCGTCCTGGAGAAGCTCATCAAAACGTGCCCGGTGTGGCTGCAGCTGGGCCTGGGCCGGGCGGAGGCGGCCAGGATCCTGCAGCAGGAGGCAGCCGGGGTGAGTTGGGGTCTCTCCATCTCATGGCCAGCAGGGCAGGTGCAGCTGCCAGGAGCTGCTGGAATTCAGGAGCAGGGGACTGGTAGGAGGGCTGGTTTCTGCTTTGGGGAGCAGGTGGGCGAGCAGGGGATGTCCGTGGATGCGGGCCCCCTGGGCATTGGGGCGCCTGAGGCAGGACTGGCACTTCGAGAACTCAGCCAGGTGTCCAGGGAGTAGAGAGCATCAGAAAGAGAGGGACCCGAGAAATCATTTCACACCTCGCTATTTACATAAGAAAATAAGGGGCTGTCTGGTGGGCCCAAAGGGCTGTGGGAGGCTCTGTGAGTTGGGCAGGCGGCTTACATTTTCTGAGTCTCACTTTTCCCACTTTGCAATGGGGCCGTCAAGGATAGTCCTTCCCTCGCAGGTGGAAGCGCGGGGTGGGGGGGCGGGGGCGGGTGGACAGGTGCACAGGAAAGGGGAGCCGAGCTCACCAAGCGCTCCCCGTCCCCACGCATTCGCTCTTACATGCTGCTTCCATTGGTAAAGAAAAATGGACAGTTAATGTTTAATTATAAAAGTGATACACCTATGTGTCCACTATGAAAAAAAAGAAACCAGTCAAGCTGGACAGAATTGATAAAGTAAAAAGAATTATCTTACAAAGTCTCTGCCACCAATTTTTTTCCAACTAACCCACTTCCCACAAGTCTTTTGTTTTTGTTTTTGTTTTTGTTTTTTTAACGAGGTGAAAGTCACTTAACATAAAATCAGCCATTTTAAAATGCACCACTTAGTACTTCACAATGTTGTGCAACGACCGCCTCTATCTAGTTCGAAACATTTCATCACCACAAGAGAAAACCCATGGCCATTAGGCAGTCGCTACCCGTTCCTCCCTGCCTGACCCCCGCAGCCCCCACCCGCCTGTCCCCAGGAGTCCTTTTAGCCAGAAGAGCATGGTGTGCCCCTCCAGCGCTTTCCCAGGGACAGACCCACCCCTGCGTACGGCAGCGGGTGTCCACCAAGCCCTCACTGTGTCCCAGGCGCTTGTCTAAGTTCCACCCGAGAATCAGCGCAGTTTATCCTCAGAGCCACCGTCTGGGGTAGGAATTACTACTCTGCCCATTTACAGATGAGGTGACTGAGGCACAAAGTGCAGCGACCTCCCCGGGAAACACAGGGAGGAGGCCCACGCTGGACACTGAGCCCCGGCAACGCGGGCGTTCCTGGGCTGTATCGCGCGCACATGCGGACTCGTGCCCTTCAGCCTGGGGCGCTTTGCTGTCCCCACCTTCCGTGTGGCCTGGGGTGCTGCACTGTGTCCGGGAAGCGTCCGAGCTCATGAACTCATGGGCCTGAGTTGGTCAGTGGACTCCTTCTCACCTTGGACTCGATAGAATTCATCGAGTTGGCAGTTGTGCCTGAAACTTACGGGGCCTCCAGCCAAGTCCCACCCTCCCTTTGCCCCAGAGTTGGAGCAGGTGCTCCTTCTGTTACCTTCTCTGCCCTTACGCCCCGCTCTTCCCTGTGAGCTTCTGTATTTTCAGGCAGAAGCCAAGCCCCGAGCGCATGCTCCGGTTAAAAGGTTGGCCAACTTTTACCCAAAGTTGCCCTTTGCTTGATCTTATTAACCCTCACACCGATATCTCTCCGGTAGTGCTTGGTGTTCCCACTTCCAGATAAGGAAATGAAGGCACAGATACTTTAACTCACTTGCTTGAGGTCCAGAGCTGGTGAGAGCAGAGCCTGCATGGTGTGACCTTCAGGGACACTGGGCAGACCCTTTGCTGCAGAATGCCACCCCCCCAGAGCTGTCTGAAATTCCACTGGTGCAATGGCTTCAGTGTTTTTAAAGATACAGGCCCTGTGGGTGGCCTTCAGGCTGTGAGAGCTCGTGGGGTCTCCCAAGATCACCTGACCCACCGCTCCTGGCTCCCGAGAGAGACAGTGCTTCATCGAGTCAGGGGCCAGTGGCCAGGAGACTGGAGATCCAGCCCCTGATCCCCCAGATCTGTGTGACCTTGACCACATCCACCCCCTTCACTACTCCCCATCTACCCCCCCTGCAGCCTGCTTCTCTGATAAGGTGGGAACATACCGGCCCAATTTTGATTTTTGTGTGTATCCAGAAACGAGGCAATCAAAAAGCCACCTTTATTCATTCTACACCCAAGCGGCACTTTTTTGTTGTTGTTTGTTTATTTTACTTTAGAAGTTTTAGATTTAGAGAAAAATTGCAAAGATAGTACAGAGGGTTCCCAGCTGCTTCTACTGCAATCATCTGACATTTAATATGGCACGTTTGTCACAATTTATGAGCCGATGCCGATACATTAGTATCAGCAAAAGCCCTAGTTTATCCAGATTTCCTTAGTTTTTGCCTGACGCCCTTTTTCTGTCCCGGGATCCTATCCAGAGCACCACCTTACAGTTCATCATCATGTCCCCTTGTCAGCATGTCACGTGACTGCGGCAGTTCCTTAGGCCTTCTTTGTTTTTGACCATCTTGATAGTCGGAGGACTATACTAGCCAGAAATTTTGTAGAATGTCCTTCCCTGGGGAGCTGTCAGGGGTTAGACTGGGGTGATTCCCACCCCATCGTGTCAGAGGTACAACACATGAGAGCGCCGTGAGCTGTGGATGTCGACCTTGGCCACATGGCCATGGTCCTGCTTGTCAGTGTTACAGTCTGCCCTGGGGAGTTCCCCCTCCTCCCGCTCCCGTGCTGTCTTCCTCCGAAGGGCATTACTGCGCGCAGCGCGCACTTGGGAAGTCTTGTGCCACCTCTTTGATTATCTGCATAGATTATTTGGAACTCCTCTGCAGAAGAGATTTGTTTCTTCTCCCCATTTATTTATTGAGTCAATCATTTACTTCTTACCACCATGGACTCATGGATATTTATTCTATGCTTTGTGTTATAATCCAACATTACTTTATTTTATTGCTCAAATAGTTCCAACTTTGGCTGCTGTGAGTCTTTGAGTTGGCTCCTACGTCTCTTTGACACACCCCCATTGTGTGTGGGCTTGGCCTGCTTATTAATTTTTTTGGAGCCTTTTCTTACTTTCTGTCACTACAAGATGCTCCAGGCGTCTCCTGTATTTTCCTGCCCCAGTCCTAGAACCAGCCATCTCTCCAAGGAGCCCTCGCTCCTTTTATTGGAGAATAATATTCAAAACCAAGATCAGGAGGCTGTGTGTTTTCTTTGTCACTGGAGTGCCAGAGGTGGTGTTTAATAAAAGAAACTTCTTACAAAGGTGCTTTTTGCAGTGGAGGGGTTATCTCAGGAGTTGCAGGAAGCTGAGTCGGGATGAGGTGGACCCCCCACTGTGGGCGGTTCAAGGCGCCGCCCTGGGGTGAGCCCAGGGGAGACCCATCCTGTCCCTCTTCGTTTGGTGACAGCCTCCTGGAAGCACCTCTGTGGCCCCTTTAGGGTGCTGGAGCTAGGGCGGGTTTTCCGGTAGCAGCCTTCGGAGGTCTGCCCGTGCCAAGCACCAGCTCCCTGCAGAGCACGAGGCGGGCTCACTAGCTCCTAAGTGAGGAAACTCAACTCTGGTGGCAAGGAGCCTACTCTGGAGTCTTAGAGCTGGCTACTAAGTGACTGCCTTCAAAATCTTGGAAAAAAACAACAACAGCAGCAACCTGTCTCTGCCTCAGCCCCAGCAAAGCTGATTTCTTTGGTTTGGAGCGGGGCTCGGGCATTTGTGAGCGTTCAGAGCTGCTTCGGTGATTCCTCTGTGCAGCCAGGATTGAGGAACTCCACTCCATGCCAAGGGACAGCTTCGTTAGGAGGAACGGGAAGGTGGGCCACGTGTGGCCAGAGTGGGCTCCAGCCACAGGGGGAGGTTCTGCTGACCCCTCCAGGCATGGCAGCCCCTGCACTTGTGGCCTCTGGGAAGAACCAGCCACTTCGGTTCCTACCCTAATGGGCGTGATTGGAAATTTTCCCCAAACAGCTGGAAAAGAGTCCTAAAATAACAGAAGTGGAAAAGCAGGCAGCTCTGGATTGTCCAGGCCAAAAATGGATAGTAAAAACAAAACCGTTATAGTATATTTAGTGGTGGGTTTTTGTATATCTGTCTGGGGAGGGGGATGGGAACACAGTGGCTGCATGCTTCTCTCCCAGAGCCTCTTCTCTGCCAGCTGTTACTGAGATCAGTTCTTTTTTCCAAAACCCGCACTGGCGGAAGGTAGACGGGGTGCTCCCATGACCGGCCGTCTCAGCCTCCTGCCTTGCAGTATATTCACCCGTGACACTAACCTTTGTGCAGACCTCTTGGGATCTGGAAAAGACCCTCAGCCACGGATGCTGGGACAGAATCTCCCAGAAGGAAGGAGTCCTGGGACCTTCAGCCCCTCTCCCTCCTGAGACTGGAAAAACCAGCTCAGGGAGGGGAAGTGAGGTGCAAAGGACACCGCACACCAGGGTCAGGAGGAGGAGGGCCACCAAGAGCTGTGACCGCTGCCCCGCTGTTGTTTTGGGGGCGGGGGTTGGCCCCACAGAGTGAGCGCGCCACCCTCAGGTTGTACAGCGTGGGGAGAGGGTTCTTCTGCTTTGGGGGAGTTCCTCGTCAATGCTTCGGGAGAGCTGGCACAGGGAACAGGGGACAGAGGAGCGGCCTGACTCAGACCACGGCCCACCAGGCACCAGAAAGTGCTTGTCCCCATAGAAGGGGAGGGGCTGACTCAGGGCACAGCAAGGTTTATGGGTGACCCGGGTCAGCGGACGGCTCTCGCGAGCAGGCGCGGAGGGAAGGGCCCGCTGCGGGCCTCAGTGTGAATGAACCGCTCCCTTCGCGATAACCCTGGGCTGCCCGGTGCCGGACTTGCTGGACTTGCCACCTCGTGGCCCCACACTGCTCACCTTGAGCTCCTCTCTACTCAGGGTGGAGGCGGGAAGTCTGCAGCTGCTAATGAGGATGTCTTTCCTCGTCCAGGGCACCCGCTGCCCCACATGGGGCAGTTCTGCTCCCTGGAGCCACCCATGAACGGCAAAGGATAGGAACGCTGCCTCTGCACAGGAGGGAGCTCTGTGCACTTTGTCCTCCGGGTTCTAAGGCAGGTTGGGGGCATGGGGAAGGGGGGCACCATATTCTGGGTGCCTACTATACAGCGGGCGCCTGTGCAGTCCTTTCAGTGATACTTTGAGACACTGGGTCAGCCGGGAATGCTTTTGGCCTCAAGGAACAGCAGACCCAGCCCATGGTGGCTTCCCATAAGGCCTGAGAAGGAATGCAGACTGTGACAGGTTGTGAGGCCCCCAGCTGGGAGCTGCTGTTGGAGGGCTCCTGTCTTCTTTCTTTCTCTCTGGGGAGCACGACAGCAAAGGGCCGGGTGAGTGCCTCAGCAAAGGAGAGAGATCCATAACGTTACAGGCCGGCCGAGGAGGAAGAGCCAGTCAGACGGCAGGGCAGCTTCGAGGGAGGTCCCAGGGAGGCTGGCAGCCAGGCTTTGTCATTGCGGTCACACTAGAGGGGCCCAGTAGGCTGTCCCAGTAGTCAGGAAGAAGGTGACTGTCGGTAGAGTAAGAAATGTAGGCTGTTCTGTGGGCCTGGCCTCTCTCTCTCTCCCCACCTCCGTTCTCTCTCTCACACACATACACACAGACGTACATACACAGGAAGTCCTCCCCTACTGTAAACATCCTTATTATCTCCTATTTTATACTCTTGTATTGTATTTTGAAAACAATGGTGGTGGCATTTACACTAATGGGTCATGGCCCACAGTTTGAAAACCCCCGCCTTCCTTGCGTATGTGCTTCCCAGCCCGTGGCCTGGGCACGCGCCCCTCCCCCACCGCACGCCCCGCTTGTGTAAAGGGTGCGCTGCCCCTGCAAATACAGAAGTCCGCAGGCTGGTTTCCGTGCAGGACGGTGCCATCCTCAGCTCCTGCCCTGGCTCGGGGTCAAGGGTCCCCCAGAGCTCTGGGGGCAGCCCAGAGTTCACTCAGCTCCCCACTCAGCCACACACGTTCACTCACACACTCATTCACGCTTCTGCCAACAATTAACCGACACTGACCGGGTGTCCTACAATTCAGTTCAGTTCTGACACTGATGCTACGCAGAGGGAGCGCAGACCCCACAGGTTAAAGGACAGGGTCCCCCACAAGACTGCCCGTAGGCAGATGCCAGGCACCAGCAGGCCCCCCGGCCGCCCACACTTCTGTCTGACCTGGCTGCACACATGACCCCTCTTCAGGCTTGATAATCCAGGAGAGTGATTGCGAGAACTCACCGAGAACACTGTACTGAGGAGGAGCACTTTATTATGGAGGATATAACGGAAGAGCCGCCGCCGAGTGCAAGAGGCCGGCAGGGGTGAGGCCTGGAGTGGGGCGGGGCGTGCACGCTCCCCTCCCCCCTCGGGGGGGACCCAAGCCCCTCACCCGCCCTCGTGCACATCAGAGGGCCACCGCCAGCCAGGGGCTCCGCCGCCCCGCCGAGCTTTGCAGTCCAGAAGTTGCATTGCGTTTTCTTCGTGTGAGGGATTGAAGTGTCGCCCACGTGAAGGTGCGTAGGTGCTCGGACTCGCTCCCAGAGCCTCCCCTCCCTCGGAGGTCGGGGTGGAGCTGCAAGTTCCAACCCCCTTGTAAACTAAGGGCCCACCAGGAGACACCTGTTAGCTTAGCTCAGGTATGGTCACAAGGGGCTATTTTGTGAAGAACGAAAACCGTGCCTATTTCTCAGGAAATTCCAGGGATTTTTGAAGCTTTGACAGTGAAGCGCGATGAAGGCCAGATACATTTAACTCAGCCAGTCGCTCATTCTCACACACACACACACCCCTCTCTCCCATTCCCTCCCCTGCTGCTGGTGCACAGGGGCAGCTGGCCTCTGGGACCTCTGAGGACAAGGCAAAGTGACCTCTTTCTTTTATGAAAGGTGACACGCTGCAGGGGTCCGTTCAGGTTCAGGAGGCCGCCTCAGTTCGGCGATGCCGCAGCTCGGAGCAGGGCCCGGCTGTGCGGGGGGAGCCCAGGTGTTGTGTCAGAACTGCGGGGGGAAGCGTCTGGAGGTGAGCCGACCCCTGCCGGGTCCCCTGTGCGGGGCTGCCTTCCAGGGAGGGCACCTTGGCGGGCGGCACCCCGCCTGCCGCTCATTCCTGCCCCCGGACGCTCCCCGCCCCTCCTCCTCTGTCCACTCCAAGTTCTCACACTCCCGCCTGCCTCCCAGGAGAAGGGCTGGTAAACTCATTTCCCCTCCATTCAGTGACTAATGGATTCATTGTGTCACTGCTCCCAAGGGCACATGCCCTGTCACGGGAGAGCAGGGCCTAAAGCATCAAAACCTTAAGCCAAGAGACCACCCTGTGGGCTGGGTAGAGGGAGGTGGCGAGCTGGGGATCTAGAGTCGAAGGGCCTGAGCTCAGCTCCCAGTGGCAGCACTTACTGACCTTGGGCAGCGCTTACCCCTCTCCCTTTCCCCCTCTATGAAATGGGGTAATGATAGCAGCCAGCTGCCTTATAGCTCTATTAGGAGAATGAAATAAGATCATGGAATCTCAGGAACTGGTGTCAGCGCTTGGGGCAGACCAGGGAGGCAATATGTGTTAGCTGTTACTACCCACAATAAAGATTTTTTATTATTATTATTATTATATGTTTCACTAACAATTATAACAACATTGTGTTAACAACGAAGAGATGTGATGATAGCAACAGCGATGAGAACAATGGCAGAGAACTTGGAGCATCCCCAGGGAGGGGTGGACAGTGTGCCTCAGTGGACAAAGGGAGGAAGGGCCGCGCCCGTGGTCCTCCAGAGCCTCTCACGCCTGGGCCACGTCCTCGAAAATGTCCCAGCGGCCCCCACCCAGCCTTCCCTCCGCAACTTTGGCGGGACTCCAGGTCTTCTGCACTCTAGCCCAGGTGCTTGGGGCCTGAGTGGGAGAAGCTTAGACACCCCAGGGGGGATGCAGGTGGAGGGGAGGGGGCAGGGTGACCAAGTCCTTTCTCAGGAAAGGAAGGAATGAGCCTTCCTTGGCTGAGGGACTCCTTGTCGCCCCTCCCAGGGAAATTTGTGCCCCTGGAGGCTAGAGAGATTCCAGAAGGTGTCTGTCTATCACCTGGAAGGAGGGCTGAGTTTCGGTAGGGCCCAGGGAGACTAAACGGAACACTTTAAAACCACGGAGTTTGTGAATGAAGCAGGGACCCCTCCCCATGACGTCTGTGGCAAGCGCAGCCCCTTCAGTAAGCGGGACCGCAGAGGAAGCAGAAGTGCAGGGTCCATAAATACCTGGCCCTGGTTTGGGTGTGGGTAATGCTTGATTACCGCAGCAGGGATGCACCTCACGGCCGAGAGGACAGGGCCCCCTCCTGCCCCAGTGAGGGGCCTGTGGTGCTGAGAGGCCAGGGAGCGGGGAGGGCTGAGCAGGGACGCCAGCCTCTGGGGCCAAATCCCAGCCCCTTACAGCCGTCCTGCGGGCCAAGCCCACAGGAGTGTTTACTCAGTCGGTGCCCCAGGATCAGAGGGTGCCTCCACTTCTCCATCTGTAAAGTGGGCGCAACAACCAAGCTCATATCAGAGGTTACAGAGGGGAAGGAGCCAGAGAATAGATGCAAAGTATTTATAGCAGTTCCTGTCACAGAGAAAAGCACCATGTTAATTGTCAGCTATTTTTATTTCTGTGGGGGGAAATCTTGTGAATTGACTAATACCTGTGACCATTTCCATCAGCCTCCCCGGAGGGTACATGCTGTGTGAGTAGGCAGGGACAAGCTGACATTCAGCCTCACTCCTGAGCCTCTCAAAGTGTGGACCCTGGGCCCCTACACATCTCAGAATCAGCTGAATTTGGACCCCTCCTTCCCCAGCTGAATTAGCATCTCCAAGGTGGGGCACAGGAATCGGCATTTGAAGTACCCTTTGCCTAACTCTGTCTACAACTCAGAAATATCAGTTGAGTTGAACCCCACTGTGAGCAAATGAGAAATTGAGACTCAGGAGTCGGGGAGGGGTGGGGGGAGACATGGGCCAAGTGACGCATGGCTATTAGGACAGAACCCCACATTCTCCTGAGGGATGCCTGACTGCCCACCCCGCCTCCTTGTTTCTGGAACATTCCAGATGACTTCCATCTCTCTGTTGTCCCTCTAACCTCCACCCAAGCCTTTGATTCACGGAGCTCTCCTTCTTCTGTCGCAGACATTCCTGGTTCGCCGAGATGGCTGCTTGCAGCACCTGGTGCTCTGTGTCCATTTTCCTTCGCTGAATGAGAGCTCATCCGAGGTGCTCGAATACACCATTAAAGAAGAAAAATCGAGTAAGTACTTGCCCTTCCAGTCTGGCCTGCGACTACGCTGCAGCAGCCGCAGCAGCCGCAGCAGCAGCAGCCGCAGCAGGAGCAGCAGCAGCAGCAGATGTTACACCCCGTAACCACAGGCAGACACTCCTGCCAGCCAGGCCAGGCTAGGTTAGAATTAGAAGCGGTGGGGTGGGGCGAGCTTTCTGTGCCCTGAAGCTATTTGGCCAGCTTTGTTTTGAACTCGGTTTTAGAACACAGAGCGAATGTCAGTTTCTGCTCTCCGCGTCACTGCTGGCTGGCCTTGCTTCCTTGTGGCTGCGGCGAGGTGTCCCCCTGTGAGCTCAGGCTGGAGAGAGGGGAGACATGAAGAGGACACGGCTGGGCACCTGGGTTCTAGTGACGGCTCAGCACACTCGAGCCATGGTCTTGGACAAGTCACTGGAGCTCTCCGAGCCTCTCTTTTCTCATCTGTCACGTGGACGTAGCAGTCACGTCCTGCCTGGATCCCAGGACCTTGGTGAGGGTCCAGTGGGCAAGCGCTCTGAGAGACAGAAATCCCATGTGTGCACAGGGCCGTCGGGAGCGGGCTGGCCCTTGATGGAGAAGTGATTGGGGGCCCCGCTCCAGGGTGGGTTTGTACAGGTGCTCAGGGCAAGTGTGTGGGCTTCTGCCACCTCTCGGGGGCCATGCCATGAATTGAGGGCCCAAAAGCCTGTTAGACACTCGGAAGAATATTCCAGGTACCATCTTAGATCCTCTTCTAAGCCGATCCAGGGTGTGTGGGAAGCTTTTTACTCTTGGTTAGCAGCAGAGGGACAACAGTTCAAATGAAACACTTATTAAGTATTACGTAAGTATTATAAGTACATAATATAAGTATATTTATACAAATTATATATTATATGCTTAAATAATTTATGTTTACATAATTAAATATTACATAACTATGTTAAGTATTTATTCCTTTGGAATACTTGTTTCTTAAGAGACCCTTATGCCGGACGCTGGGGATATGCAAAGGTGAATAAGACAGAGCCTGGCCTCAGGGGCCCCCTGGTCTAATTGGAGGGTGGGAGACACGGTGGGTGGGAAACACAGGCACCCGTACTTGCTGTGCGGTGTAGTGTGACAGATGTGGCTGCGAAGGGAGCCTGGCCAAGCGGCACAGAAGATACAGGTGTCAAGTGAATTCAAAGAGTCTGGAGACTCTAGAAAGAAGTGACAGAGATGTATTCAAGAGGCCAGGCAGAAACCCAGAAGCGTTCCAAAAAAGAAGGAAATCTGCAGTGCGTCCCTGAGGCTGATCTGTCCTGCGTTCTTGGCGCTGGGATTGGTCCAGGACCGTTATCAGTCAGACGTTAGGCGATCTGGAGGGCGGGTGGCCAGCATGACAGATGTTGGTGGACGTCAGGTGGTCTGGACACATGAGCCCTTCAGGATATAATCAGAAGGTGATCTGGAGGTCTGGCATGTGTCCACATACCTATCCCGGCATTGACGCAGGACTGGAAAGTTCAAAAAACATAAGTTCTCGGGCTAGGTAGAAGAATAGCATTGTTTCCTCATGCCTCAGCCTACTTGGTTTTAGCGATTTAGCAGCTTGACTATAGTGACTGGTGGGAAGGATTCCAAGAGGGTGTCAAAGAGGAGGGAACGCAGGCTGGGTCCTGAAGGATGAGTGTATCAGTTAAAGGCTAATTTTCCAGCTCAGGAGTTGGAGAAATTGCAAGCAGAGGCAGGTGCCTGCCCTTGCCATAAGGGGTCCTTTCTATGGAGACCCGGACTCGCAGAAAACAGGCAAAACATAATTCGCTCATTATCTGTGTTCAACAGATAGTTATGAAGTGTTCACTCTGTGTCAGACACTGTCCTACCATTGGGGACACGGCAGGGAACAAAAGCCAGTCCCTACCTCTCGGAGCTTACGTTTGGGGGAAGGAAGGAGACAATAAATAAACAATACGGGGTGATTGCCCGACGCAGAGCCAGGCTATGGAGAACGTGGAAGTGCGAAGATTAGCCAGCTGCTGCAATAATGGCAGAGTGTAATGACTTAAACCCAGAAGAGGGTGGTTTCCCACTCACGTCAGGACTCCTGGTCTGTGGGTAAGGCTCAGGGGCCCTGGCTCACGGAGGCTGTGCCACCTTGAGCACACAGCGTCCAGTTTCCTGGAGGCGGCTCCTGGGCGGATCTTACCAAAGCCTGGAGCTGGGTGTGTCTCCTGTGCTTGCCTGTCATTGATTAGAACTCAGTCACATGACCATACCCCACAGTCAGGGAGACTGGGAAATGTGGTCCAGACGCGTCTCCAGACAGAAGCAGAGGGTGGGAATTTTGCTGAACTGCTAGGACTCTAAAGTGATAGAGTGTGTAGGGTTGCTAATGTATCTAGTAAAACTTGATGACCCTTGTCTCTCAGTGTCCAGCGGGAAACAAAGTGTAGGGATGTAAGGAAACAATCTAGTTTTCCCAGACCAAATGTTTAGCGCCCTCTACTGACTGCAGGAGGGGGTGACGTTGTTTAGAGCGCCTACTGCTCTCCAAGATCCCTTCTCAGCCATTCTCAGCAGGTGCCTCTGGGGCTGCAGAGACCCTGGGTGCTCTCTTGAGGGCCTGGGAGAGAGCAGGCATCAGCCTATCTGCTTATGGACTTGTGTAGTCCTGCCTCCTCATGCGAGTAACGAGGCTTCAGGGACGTACGTGCCTGCCCAGGCACGAGTTAGGTGCCATCCCTTAGAAACCCGAGGGCCAAGAGTGGTCTTAAATTTTAACACCAACATGAGGAGCGTAGCTGAAAGTGGGGAGCAGTGATGTGCTGAGCCTGTTACAGGTCAACAAGAACTCTAGAAGTAGAAGGAGGGAGACTTATTGAAGGTCAGACTGATCGGAAGGCTTCTTGGAGGAAGAGGCAATCAGGCTGGACCAGCAGAATGTCTGGAAGTTCTGCTTTTCTCCTTTGCCCCTACGCTTCTTTCCTAACTTTCCGCCCAAGTCTCCAGGGCGTCACTTCTAGGCATCTCCAACCCAGTTACACCCCCAGCCACCCCTGGCCCCTGGAACTTGGTCAGGCAGCAGGCACAGGGCCTCCCAGTGGAACCAGGTGCCGCGTCTGCTTGCATGTCACACTTCTGATTAGGAGACCCAGGGACAAACCTGGGCACTTGGGGGTGGAGGCAGCTTACTTCCCTGGGTTTGTGACTGCCCGGCACCATGTGGCAGAATCTCGTTTTCCATCTTTAATTTAAACTTTAAAAAAATTCAATTCCCAGCTTTGCTGAGACCATCAAAACCCAACCCAAAACTCCTCTCTGTGACGTAGCTCTCCTCATCATGGTTCACTGTAACCGCACAGAGACTGTCTGTAAGTTTGCATGTGTTTTGTTGTGCGCTTCCTTTGCATTGCTTCACGGCTCCCCGCTCCTCTGACCCCAGAGGTGTGCCGCCTCCCTGGTACACCCAGGCAATACCAGGGGGGCTGCAGGTAACAAGTATCTTTGCCACAAGGACCCCCTGGGCCTTCCCTTTTCCTTGTCTTCCTGTTCGGTCTTTCCTCTCTAGCATCATGGTGGAGCACAGACTACAGAAACCACATGGCCTGTGTTGGAGCCTCAACACTGCGTTTACTACCTGCGTGGCAGTGACCTTGGGCACCAGGGCCCTCCAATGGGGATGATGATGGTGCCTCCTCATAGGGTGCTGGGAGGAGTTCGTGTCTCTAAAGTGCTTAGGAGAGGAGCACATTTCTGCATGCTAGACAGGATGCTGCCCAATTCATGAGTAGCTCCGTGAAGCCAATTAGAGCTTTAAAAAAAGATAATAAAGTGTCTAGGATAGTACCCAGAGAACAATAGAAGATTATAATAGTGTTGTTATTTTGTTGTCAATTTTCCTGGTTTTTGGCTTCCTGGATTAAGCCAAAAGGAGAATGGAATGAGCCTACTCACATGGTCCCAAGGCTCTGGGTAAATCCCAGCTGAGTACATGGGTGCCTGCCTTGTGGCCCCTCTTGGAGGAAGGAGCCACCACCCTCCCGAGTCCTCCTGTAGCTGTGGTGGCTGCAGTGGCGGGTGGCCTGAGGAGGAAGTGGGCAAGGGTAAGGCCCAGGGCCTGGAACAGGGGCCTTTTGTTGGATTTCCCCGCGCAGAGCTGAGGCCAAGGAAGGAGACAAGGGGATCTCCCACAAGTGGGTGGTCAGCCTCATCCGTAGCCCCACTCTGCTTGCTTTGAACGAGGAAGGCTCCCCTGCACCAACTCCATGCGTCTGTGGCTTGGATTGCCCTCTAGTTCCTTGTTCAGCTTCTTTGCAAAACCCTCAGACTAGTTTTGCCGCAATAACATCCCTAAATTACAACGGACTGCACACAGGCTGTGTATGTACACAAAGTACTGCATGCAAAGTAACGCAGGTGTATTTTTCACTCGTTACGTGTCAGCTGAGGCTCTTTATAGAAACATCTTCATTCTGCAGTCGAGGCTGGAAGAGCAGCACGGCCTGGGGGCAGAGGGAAGAAGACAGGTGGCAGAATTCCACAACGGCTCTCAAAGGGTTTACTCAGAGGGGGCAGGTGCCATGTCCCCTCACATCTAATGGGCCAAAACAGGTCAGATGACCAGGCCAGACACCAGTGGGATGGGAAGTATTATCCTCGCACCAGCATGTGATTGGCAGGGAGGGTCATGATTATTTTGAATGAGGGTTGCCATCTGCTACATCCCCAGCTCTCCTCCGGGCTGCACTAAGGTGACCACAGGACTTTGTGGTGTATGAATCACCACTTAGCTTCATGGGGACCCTCAGAGACCAGGTGTGGGGGCGGGGGGTATGTAGAGAACCAGCAAAAGAGACATAATTCTACTAATCATGTTTCGTGTCCATTCATGAGTCGGGGCAGGGGACACAGGGGACGAAGGAGCAGGAGACAGGATGGGTGGTGGCCAGGCCAGCTTCAGGGCCGCAGCCACGCCCCTTAAAGCTGCAGTTAACCACTCGGTCAGGAGACACTAGCTCCCTTTTCAT